AGGCTTGAAGCTTGGCAAGATCCAACGGTGCCTCCTGTTTCCAAGGCACTCGAGAATATCGGCAAAGCTTTGCAATCTCAGTACGAGACTCTCGCTATCCGGACACGCTACAAGCAGTATTTGGACCCGTCCATCGAAGAAACCAAGCGGTTCAGTATCTCCCTCCGAAGAAGTGCCAAGGACGAGCGTGTTCTCTTCCATTACAATGGACATGGAGTACCCAAACCAACAGCTTCGGGGGAAATTTGGGTTTTCAACAAGAACTATACGCAGTATATCCCCGTCTCTCTCTATGACCTTCAGCAATGGTTGCAGGCACCTACGATATTTGTGTGGGACTGCTCCGAGGCAGGCAACATCCTCAGCAATTTCCACCGCTTCGTTGAAAAACACGAACAAGAGGAAGAGGAGGCGGTACAACGGGACCCGAATCACGAAAAGATCAGCTTCCGTCCTTATATTCACCTGGCAGCCTGCAGTGTCAAGGAGAATCTGCCAACCAACCCTGACTTGCCTGCCGATCTCTTTACTAGTTGCTTGACCACCCCTATAGAGATGGCACTCTGGTTCTTCTGTCTGCAGAACCCTCTTAAAACCAAAATATCTCCCGAGCGAGCCAAGAAGCTGCCAGGACGGCTTCAAGAGCGCCGGACGCCCCTCGGAGAGCTCAACTGGATCTTTACTGCCATCACAGACACCATCGCATGGACCACGCTACCACGCCATCTCTTCCGCAAATTCTTTAGGCAAGATTTGATGGTTGCTGCTCTTTTCCGAAACTTCCTCCTCGCACAGCGCATCATGCCTGTGTACAATTGCCACCCTCAGTCGTACCCCGAGCTGCCAGATACACGTCAACATCCCCTTTGGGAGAGTTGGGACTTGGCCGTCGATCTGGCTCTTGCCCAGTTACCGGACCTGGAAAGAAAGGAGAGTGAAGGGATAGAGTACGACTACATCAACTCGTCATTCTTTGCGGAGCAGCTTACGGCATTTGAGATCTATCTGACTCGAGGGGATGCCTTATCCCAGAAACCACCTGACCAGCTTCCAGTGGTTCTGCAGGTGTTGCTAAGCCAGCAGCATCGAGTACGAGCACTGGTTCTTCTGGCCAGATTCTTGGACTTGGGTCCGTGGGCAGTGCAACTGGCGCTGAGCATTGGCATCTTCCCGTATGTCTTGAAGCTCCTCCAGTCGGCGGCGCAAGATCTTAAACCGGTCATGGTGTTCATCTGGACCCGCGTTCTTGCGGTCGACATCTCATGCCAGCAAGACCTCATCAAGGATAGTGGGTACAATTACTTCGCGGCCATCATGAAGCCGCAAGATACCTTATCTATGGTCAGCGTCGGCTTCTTGGATGAGCACAAGGCCATGTGTGCTTTCATCTTGGCCATGCTGTGCAAAGACTACAAGCCTGGACAACTTGTGTGTAACTCGACCGACATCATGTCCTATTGCTTGTACCATATTGCACGTCCAGAAGGACCACTCCTGAAGCAATGGTCATGCCTCTGCATCAGCCAGCTCTGGAAGGACCTTCCTGAAGGCAAATGGAGGGGCATTCGGGAGAACGCCACGGCGAAGCTCTCCCACCTTAGTAGGGACCCCAATCCTGAAGTACGGGCAGCTATGGCGCATGCTATGACCACGTTCCTAGGCATCCCGGACCTGACGGACGAAGTTGCGAGGATCGAGGAGAGCGTTGCCTGGACGATGCTTGAATTGGCCACAGACGGCAGCCCGATTGTCCGAAAAGAGCTTCTAGTCTTCTTCTCACATTTTGTTCTGCGCTACGAGAGCAAGTTTCTGGTTGCCGCCTTTGAGCAACTATCCGAGGAGAAGGATTATCTTGCATCCCCGCCACCAGAGGATGGCCAGGATCACAGGATGGGGTTGCACTATGCTCGTCGGGAAAATCGGGAGAGGGATGGCAGCATCAAGCCAACAGCATTTGGTGTAGCGCACGATTCAATCTTTGCTGCATGCTGGAAACACATCAACATTTTGAGCGTGGATCCACATCCCGAGACCCAGAGAGATGCCACTGTCATTGTAGACTATGTTCACAATGCATTGCTCCAGTCACCGCTTACGACGCAAACGCAAAATCTCATGGACGAGATCCTCCGGCGCTCTAGAAAGGTGTCGAGGGGTGATATGAGCCAGAGAAGCGCCGCTGCCGGAACCCACGCTGCGATCGCACAGCCATTACCTTCGCCAGGCCTTCTCAAGAGGACTGCAAGTTACTTGTTTGGCCCCCTCATGGGGACCTTGGACCCTTCTTCAACCTCGATGCCCCCGGTGTCCCCTGGGTTACAAAGAAGCGGATCTCGAAGCAGCCGAAAAGGTCCAGGCCTGGATTCTGCGCCGCCTGAGCAAAATGATCAGGCTACATCACCAGCAAACTACCACGTTGCTAACGAACCGTCGTGTACTGGCTATAAGGAGCGCAGCATGAAAGATCTGCCCAACTTGCCATTGGTGAGCACGTTCTTGGACTGGTCAATAGAGTACTTCCGCGAGCCGCAGATGAAAGCATCGGAGGCTGAGGAGCCTGGGAGTCACGAGTACAATGAACGCCTGTGGCGCCGCTCACGCAACGAGGCTGTTCTGAGGGAGACCCAGCCTCAGAAGACACATGCGCGAACCCACAAGTGGAATAACCAAATTGGCGTCATCAACAATGGCTCGCAACCGGCTAAGCTCAGCTTCCATCAGTTTGAGAACTACGTTGCCGTTGCAGATGACGGAAACACAGTGAATGTGTGGGACTGGAAGCAGGGTACTCGGAAGAGCCGCTTCTCCAACGGCAACCCAGAGGGATCCAAGATCTCAGATATGAAGTTCATCAACGAAGATGATCAAGCGCTGTTGATGACGGCATCATCAGACGGTGTAATCCGTATTTACCGGAATTACGATACCAATGAGAACATCGAGCTGGCATCGGCTTGGCGCGCTCTGACGCATATGGTTCCGTCCAACGTCAACTCGGGCATGGTGTTCGACTGGCAACAGGTCAAGGGCCAGGTGCTGGTGGCCGGGGATGAGAGGGTCATTCGTATCTGGAATGCCGGTCATGAAATGTGTACTCATGAGATTCCGGCACGATCCGGCTCTTGTGTGACTTCCCTCACTTCAGATCAGATGACAGGCAACATCTTTGTTGCTGGATTTGGCGACGGAGCGATCAGAGTCTTTGACACTCGTATGAAGCCACAGGAGACCATGGTTCGGAAATGGAAGGATGAGAAGAGACAATGGGTGCGATCGGTGCACATGCAACGCGGTGGGCAGAGAGAGCTGTTGTCGGCCAGCCGGAATGGCAAGGTCCGGTTGTGGGATATCCGCATGGACCAGGCGCTCAAATCGTTCCAGACCACCAAGGACGTACTTAGGACGGCAAGCACGCACGAACACTTGCCTGTCTTTGCTGTGTAAGTTTCACCCTTTTGTGGTCATCATACTCGGAACCAGTTGCAGTAACTAACTCAAATAACCCCTGACAGTGGAACTTCGGCACACCTTGTCAAGGTCTTTGACTTTGATGGCCATGAGTTGACTCGGATCGAGCCTTACTCCAGCTTCCTCCAGGGGCATAAGGGTACACCCATCTCTGCTACTGCATTCCATCCTCATCGGATGGTTTTGGGTTGCGCTGCTCGCGGGGACTATCACGTCAACCTGTTCGCTTGTGGGAACGAGAAGGTTGGCCCCTTCTAAATGACCAAAGGGATGGCAACCTCCAAGTTACGAAAGGAATGAGAGGAATGACATCCTCAGGTCCATGGAACCGCCTATGGCCTTTGGCAAGCTACTATCTGCCCGTTGACTTTCTTATGCCATGGTCTGTGATTGTGTACATCCATCATCATCATCACTTATGACGCTCTTCCCGACTTCGTCACGTCTTGGTTTATTTTGAGCATCCCAATTCACTGTTAGAGGAACTTACCTTTTCAAGCTTGCACCGGTTCCCATAGTGATTCGTCCTCCTCTTGTCGTTGCTTTTCTCTTTAACTGCATGGAATCTGGTTCTGTTATTTTCATGTTTATGTTTATGGGCTATGTTCAAGGATAATGCGTAAAGGAGTGTTTCTAATGAGGTTGCATAGACGATATTTAATGATCTAACGGTGATGCGAGTCAGGAAGCGAAACAGCAGATACTTATATTGAGTGAAAAGGCGCTGAGTAGCTGGTACACCACGATCAACTTCGCGAAATCGTCGTAGAGACGGGAGTGCATGGAGGGTGATGAAGGTTTTGATATGGTCCAAATTTAATCAGTGGGTTGTTTTTCTTCTTCTTCTTCTTCTTCTTCTTCTTCTTCTTCATCAACGGAGCGAACGGCTACGGCACTTTCGGCATTGCTATTGTGACTTTGTGGTATTGGATGGTAGAGATAGAACTTTTCGAAATCTAATGCTATCTGATGCTCTGATCAGTGATAGTCCTGTTCAGAAATTGTAGATTCGAAAGATCAGGCATACAGTACAAGCCCACCTCTTGAACATATGTAATCTCTGAACTCTCCATATTCCCTTCATGCATTCTAATGCTTTCCCAATTGTGTTGCTTTTACATCTGTATATAACACATTATTTTACCGCTGCTTTTGGGAAGTAGAGAAGCTAGGTACATCCATCAGGCATCACCAAGTTGCTACATAAGCCACTGTAATCAATCATCATACACGGGCGGTGCAAAGTGGATACTTTGCGAGCTCAACTGCAGCCTAACTCGTTACGGATAAGACCTGAGCTCCCCTCGTCACTGTTCGTTATGCCAGACGCGTAAAATACCAAAACTTCCACTTGCAACCTGGAGTAACGAATTTCTGTCTCAGGCTTCAATTGGCACAACAAGCACAACAGAGCTGCTTGATCACCTTGGCCGAGCTTGCGTACTAATCACCATTGGCGAAGAAACCATTCCAACTCCTACAACAGTCATAGCCGAACCTTGCACGCAATCCAACCAGCCCGACAACCAACCATGGGCCCCAAGCGAGACCACGATGCCCTCACATACTCCGACAACGAGGAGCCAGCGTCGCAACCAGTAGTCAAGCGGCGCAAAGAGCGCTCGTCTGCCAAATCCAAAACGACGGAGCCACAGACCGACGCCACATATGGCCAACGCACCGCCTTCCCTGGCCTCGACGAGCCTGCTGCGCTCAGCGACGAGGACCTGGAATTTGAGGATCAAGGTGATGCCCTCGCCTATCTACGTTCTGTTCGGTAAGCTTTCCCCTTGTTGCATGCCCTACCTCCTCTCCCATCCGCAAAGAGACACCCATTTGGCTAAACAATCTTTCATCTCTCCCACTTTGTAGACCATGAAGACTGACGATGGTAAGTAACACAGACAAGAAGCGAACGGTATCCCTCACCTCCTGGTAGCTCCCAAAGCCGGGCCGCAGCTCCCGCCCTCATACCTCTCGAACGAATCATCGAACGACAACAATGTAGACCGAAGCATCTACCACGACGGCCTCGGCGATTCCCGCGGCTACTACCAAGACGGCGCCTACACAGCCGCACCCGACAACCTCCTCGAGCGGTCCGTCCGCGAAGACGACGATGCTCCCTATGGCTATGGATACGACGACAGTAGCGACAGCGACAGTGACTACTCAACAAGCACAGAACGGAATCTTGCGCTCGCAGACCGCAACCGTCACCTCGCGCGTGAAGCCTACTTCGCCTCTCTCATGTCCCAATTCTCTTCCCTGCGCAACATGCTCCACCAAACCCCGCCCTCCTCTCTCCTCTCCCAGCTCGACAAAGACCATGGCTACCAAGTCGGCTCCTTCGGCCCCAAATCATGGACTTTCAGGGTCTGGACTAAACGGATCCGCTACACGGACCCTCTCCCGCACCAGGTGGCGGCTATGGACCGCTTCGGCGCGCTTAAGCTTTTGCGCGTGATTCTGGGCGGGAAGTTTATCCGGCGCGGGTGCGAGCTGCGCGAGAGGACTAGTAGATGGATCTGGGCGCTGTTGGCTAGATTGCCGGACAGGGGGGAGATGGACCATACGGATATTGGGTGGGTGAGAGAGCTGGGTAAGCGGGCGGTGTTGATGATGGTGAGCATTGTGCAGATGGCGGCGTTGAAAGAGGAGGTGGAGGGAGATTTGGAGGGTGCGGAGCTGGCCGAGGATGAAGTTGAAGAGGAGGTCTTGGCTGAGCTGGAGCCGGATGTGGATAATGAGGGTGTTGGTCGAGTGGATGAGGAGGTCGGTATCGAGACGGGGGATCAAGCGGCTGAGAAGGCTAAGTCTGAACCGACTACTACCGAGGACTCGTCGAACGCTGCAAACCCAATTACTAAGGATGACAGTGGCTTAACCAAGGTTGAGCAACAACCCCAGGAGCAAGAAGAGGCGGAGGAGGGGGAGATTGACATGGACATTGATGACGGAGAAGTGCTCAATGATGAGGAGGGAGGCCCCAACCCTTCTACTCCCTCGAAAGAGGACGCTGAGGCTGCCATGGCTGTTGCAAAGGCACGATTGCTTGCCCAGATCGATGATGCGGCTGAAGATCAGCGACGGGAAGATGAGTTGACGAGACAACGACTGAACATGAGAGCGACGCTGAACATGATTCTGACTGTCGCCGGTGAGTTCTACGGTCAGAGAGATCTACTCGAGTTTAGGGATCCATTCCCCGCTCTTTAGAGGTAGGAGATCTTTGCGGGCTCATCCACAGTCCCACAGTCCGATGGACGGCTTTTGGTCTATCTTCAGCTTCTCAGATGATCATGAATGCATGGCGATGGGCTCAAAAGTGGTTATCGAGTCGCATGTTATAAGCTCGGATCGAACATCTTTTGTTTCAGCTTCCCAATGAGCAAGCACTGGATGATAGGTATGCAATAGTTCTCAACCGTTCCTTAACCCTCCGAAGGTTCAGCAGATATCTGTAGGAATACAAAATAAAGTATACAACGGATCTCTTCATGCTCGCAATGATTGATAAGACGCAACGCATGCTCAATGAACGACAGGTAAGAGAAAGCCACCGATGCGTATCCTCCTGCTCCCATCTAAACGAATGCTTGCCGCCCTCGTGCCCCGTAACAAAACTCCAAACGCCATACAATATGCGAACAATGCACCGATGCGTAAAAGTCAGGCCGAAGATAGAGGACAACCAAGCGGTGCAAGAGAAACAACCCCACCAACATGAAATCAAACACAACAAGGAAGCTCCTCTAATCCATATCCATATCCCCACTTCTTCCCCCACGATGACTCAACCCATAATCCAAAAACGGCGCCTCCTCGAAATCATCTACCGGCGCAACGCCAGATGACTGGGGCACATACCCCCCAAAGTTAATCGTAGTCTGAGTCCCCCGTCTCTTCGGCACCGCCATCACCCTATTGTTCGCAAAAGTATTCGTTTTGCTTCCACCTCCACACCAAGCCATAGGCTCCAAGCTGCGCGGGGCCCTTACAACGCTTTCTTCATCTTCTTGGTTGTGTTCATCGTGAGAGAACTCCTCGCGACGACGCCAGTCCATATCCTCGCCGAAAAGTCCTGCACCACCTTCTTCGCTGCTTCCGTCTTCGTGGATGCGCTTGCGGTTGTCCTGCGTCGCAAAGCGGATTGATGTAGCGTTGCTGATGGTGCTGGTGCTGGTATTGGAATCCTGGCTGCTTAGAGCACTTTTGTTGTCCTCTTGGACGGCGTACCCGCCGGTTTTGTGGATACCGCAAAAGGGGGTGAGTTCCCGGTTGGCGCTGGCGCTGGCGCTGGTGGCGGTGACGGGAGCAGAAGGAGGCAAGGCCGATACCGGACGGTTATGTCCATTGTTGTTTCCTGCAAATGATGCACTTGCGCCGGCCGAAGATGTGTTGTTGCTGTTGCTGCTTTCGTCCATCCAGGACGGGAAGCCCGAGGCAATCTTGCCGGTCTTGTAGCCCTCCGGAACGGACTTGCGCACGCGCATGCCGACGTTCAGAAGACTTGACTTGATGGTGGACGGGAGGACTGGGCCGTTTAGCGGAGCGGTCTTGGAGAAAGCCGAGGCGCCGCTGCTGGTAGAGTCATAATGCGAGTCATCGCTGGTCGGCGTGGTCTTGAAAAAGGAGGTGATGGAGCGTTGCGCCGGGTCGCTCGCTGCGCCGGCGAACTGGCGCTTGGTTCGGGAGTTCGACATTGGAATTGGTTGGGTTTGTCGGATGGTGGACCTGACGCCGTTAAATGAATATCAAGGTTTAGATCTTGGGGAGTGATTCGAAACTGAATTCGCAATCAGATTGCAGAGTTGTGTATGGGATTGAAGAGATGATTGTTTGTGTTGTCGGGGGAGTTTCCTTTCTCGTGGGTGGGAAGATCAAGAAGAGATGACGTGGGAAGTGTTTCGAAGGGGGTGTGACAAGGATGTGGGGAAAGCCCTGAAGATGCAAGCACTCAAGCCAGTTCACTGATCATTGGGTTGCTGGGGCTCCGGGTTCAGTTGTTCACAAGTCAGGTTGCCGGAAGCGATCCAGTCGCATGAGGGGGTGTGGGTCCCGGGCCTCTTGCGTTTGACGTTCAAGTTGAGGACCTTGACGAGCACTCATTGCCGGACTGTACTCATGAACCGCCGTAGATAAATAAGCTCCAACCCCCATTGGCCAGACTCGGCAACTTTGACTTGGCAGACTTCAACACCAACAGCAAGTGCACAAATAAGTGATGATGACAATGAGAATGGTAGGAGGCTCATGTTCCTTTTCTTTAGTATTTGAAGTTTTTCTGGGGCAATTTGAAATCTTTGGAACCGCCGTCGCGTGTTCCCAGACAGGTGTGATCGATAAGTAACAAGCTTGTGTTGCCTTCACCCACATACCATTCCCAAACTGGCACAACGAGCAAGGGCCGGACAACTGTCTGCATGCGTTAGCATCCCGAACTCTGAGCTCTCTGAAGCGGCATTCCAAGCGTCACTGTTGGGTGATTCTCTGGTCTGCTTTGGATTTATCTCAGCTGGTTACGACAAAACTTTATCTCGCCTCAAAGGTCCGGGGCATGATTGGGCATGGTGTATACTACATGTGTTCAGTTCATTCTTGCGAGTGATCATGCTATGCCCCACAGAGTATGTTGTATTGGTGACCTCCTCTCATTGTTAGAAAATTGTGAGATGGGACACAGTTGGCCTTTACGCCTCGGGTCTTACATTGAGCCGCTGAGACCTTTGTCCTAAGCCATGTTGCCGAGAGCAATGTAATGACGAGCCAGAAAAGTCTTGTATGGGAGCCAGGATGGACGATTTGTGACGGGCTGGCTCATGTGACAGAAGCAAGATTCACCGTCAATTTCGAATGCATAGCAAAGCTGTGAGTATTGTCGTATTTGACTAGCCTAGCAATCTGGTGAGGATGCCTTTAAACGCATCCCGAACCTACTTTCCAGACCGCTATTTGACCCTATACAACGACGCAATATTTCATCAAAAGAGAGCATGGGAACATAGCACGAAATATACCAGCCCAAACAGGATATCACAATACATCACGCCAACGGAAGAAGGTATGTAGGACGCTTGTCGTGGATTCTCGTAGATTCGTACCGGAGCAGTCCTATAGCCCATCCTTCGCGCTACGTATGGAAACAACCAAGCAATCCGCATCGCGGCTTGTCGAATGCCATCCGCCCATGGCACGTCAGTCGGGGCAGTCGTGAAATATGTGCCTCTTCCCGCTATCCACCCACGCAGGCTAACCTGCCTGAACATCAAGACAATAGCAGGAAACGCGCGCAAATATCGAGAAAGACGTAGATGATGCAAGATATCCGGAACCCAAAACGCCTTCCCAGTTTTGTTGTTGCGCGCGAGGTAAATCTTCGAGTGAATCCATCTTTCTGTCCGCAACGAGATTGATTGACGATCGAGTATGATATTTCTATGCGCCCGACTGGCAGAAGCCTTGCAGATACCAAGATGTCCCCATTACCATGCCGTTATGCTGAAGAAAAGAACCGACCCTCGATCCGTCTACTTGCGGCGGAAAGAGCAGCCCTCGGTAAGGCGAGCCTTACCACCAGTGGGCTGGCAGAGGACAGTGGTGCAGCCCTGGCAGATGACGACAGTCTGGGCGTGGGAGAAGACAGTGGTGATGGTGAAGCAGCCGGGGCACTTGACATCCATGAAGAAGGAGCGGGGAGCAGGCACAAGGGTCTGCAACGCGTTGTCAGTATCTCATGTCGTGGGTAGTAGGTCGTGGTGTTTTGTTATCGTCGGGGTTCGATTCGGCATACCTTGAGCTTGTGCTTGCGGGCCTCAGCAGCCGGGCTGGGGTTGAGGAGATCAACGGCGAGAACCTTGAGAAATCAAACTGTCAGCATCACAGCCCATGTTGAAACATCAAAACAACACCATTTCCATCAAATCCAGCCTTTTCTCGTCGTCATTTTTCGCCCAGATGTCCGTCGTGATCGGTGTTTTTCGATTTCCTCCGCTGTTCCACCCGTTCCTCTGTCCAAGCGTCGATGCACATTTCCCCGTCGTCGAAAAGGCCCAAAATCCGATTCCATCGCCAAAACTGCAAAATCAAAAATGGCAGGGTCTTACCATCTTGACTGATTATTCGATGTCGAGACAACGAGCTTTCGGTTGAATGATGAAATCTGGTGGGATTGGCGGCAGATTTGTGCTCGTTGGTGGTTGTAAAAGAGGGGAGGTCGAACCTAGCAAAACACAAAAGTTCAGGCAAATTTTCGGTCTGTGAGGACCACCCATTCGTGGCTAGGCTGGCAGGCGTTAGGGCTCGCTTTGCCGGCCAATGAGAAGCCTTTTTGCACAGACCTTGGCTGTAAAAGTGGGACTTGCGATTGCCACCGTCGCCGGGTGATTCAAAGGCTCACCCGGTGGGGTGTACAAGGCTCTCGCTTGTGACGCTACATTCCCCGGGAGCAGCCACTGGACGGGGACAGGTTGGCGGACAAGGTGGGGCAGTGATGAGATGGGGATGTCAACACAGAGGAACAGACCGCCCGCGGGGTGGACATGCCAGCGAGGCCAGGCAGCTCCGGAGGCGGGGGGTAACTTCGCAATCGCAAAACAACTTCTACTTCGTTCCAGGCAACTGGTCTTCTTACAAATACACTACCGAACTCGCGACGATAATTCGACAGTTGCCTAACGGCTACCCCTTAGATCCCAGGCCCATCCCGTTCCATAAGCTCCGGGAGTATCATCGACTTTCTTCCAAACACTCCGCAAATTCGCCCCCTCTTTCAAGCCGACACTACCCCTTGACCGCCACGCACGTTCGAGATGGCCGCCCCGGGAGACCAGCGCATCGCTGTTCCTATCGACGACCCCAATGCCGACACAGAATGGTGAGAGACAGAGAGGCAAATCCTCGCGGTCAAGGCGCGCTTACAGTTCTGTAGGAACGACATCCTTCGCAAGCATGGCGTTATTCCCGAAAAGCCCCCTAGCCCGACGCCTATGATCCAGGAAGCGATCGAGGAGGCGCGCCGACTCGCACACGAGAACAGACTTGAAGGCAAGGACCTGGACGAGCTCGACGAGCTTGAAGACGAGGAGGACGAAGAGTTCCTGGAGATCTACCGCCAACAACGGATGAAGGAGCTCAGTGCACTCCAAAAGAAGTCGGTACACGGCAGTGTCTACCCCTTGTCGAAGCCCGAGTATACCCGCGAAGTCACCGATGCGTCACAGAACGGACCGGTATTTGTCCTCCTCACATCCTCGTTGGGCACCAATGTTGAGTCAAGAGTTCTGTCAGAGCTGTGGCGTCAGGCGGCACGGGAATATGGTGACATCAAGTTCTGCGAAATGAGAGCGTCGCAAGCCATCGAGAACTACCCCGAGCGCAACTGTCCTACGATCTTGGTCTACAACAAGGGGGATGTCGTCAAACAGGTCGTGACGCTCATGACAATGCATGGCGTCAAGACCAACATGTTGGACATCGATAACATGCTCGTCGATATTGGGGCGATCCCTGACAATGACATGCGGGTTGCCAAGAGGAGGAGAGAAGTCGAGGAGGCGGAGGAGGAGAAGCTCTTTAGCAAGAACATCAGAAGCACCTCTGACCGCAAGGAAGAGGACGACGACGACTGGGACTAAGCCGGGCACGTCATAATACGCCACGACTGATCGTGCCATCCCGGAAGCCCGAGCGAGGAGTCATGATACCATTCCGAGGTCGAACTCAGTGTGCTCGATCCCGGAGAAAGGCGACGAAAAAGAACTAAGGGACTTCAGATGTGCGCCTGTGCCGCACGGCGCTGCGTACCATTTACGATTCACCGGACATAATAATCACTAGACTTTTTAATCGGAGCAGATGCTCCAATATCAAAGTCCCCAAAGCTGTTAATGACTATTCAAAATAGGCGTTGCCGGGCCTTATACTCCGGTTTCAACTCTGTAGCAGGAGTTCATCAGACATGACTCCAGACACTGACCTGAGGAGACTTAACAGTTGATTTTGACTGATTTTACATTGCCCCTTTTCATACCTCCAGAGGGAGGTTCATCAAAGGTACCGAGCGAGCATATGTGGAATGATATCAGATTGTGTCTATGGTGTAAGGGTACACTTTGGGATTGGGGAAAGTTGACAAAATAGGAGATATGCGCTCCCTCCCCCTTCTGAACTTCGAGGGTCATGGCTCAACTCCTCTTTGACAAGTGTGCGGTCCAAAGGTGATGGACGCTTCGAATTTCCAGCTCTCTAGAGTTCCCTCTTCGCTAAGGTCTGCCACCCTAACCCTGTCCCGCACCTATACTGTGTAGGGAAGCCTTGAAGAGAGGCACGTAGATGCCCGTTCCTGATCTCATCCATCCCCAAGACCCACGCCGTCGTGCCCTTCTGCCATGAAGTTTGCAATCATGCGTCGATCGAAATAAAACAGCCGAGTAAGCCTTAATAGGAACTACTTACCTTCCTCTACCCCGGAAGTCTGTCTACCAGCTGCCTTGTGGGTGGTGAGACTATCGATGGGACCCTGATTTTGATGCCAAGACACAGAGTCAGTGTTGACCCCTCGCTCCCCAGTGCTTGCACTCCTTGTGAATTGCGAACCCGTTCACCCAGCAACCGGTAATCGAGTTTTGGAGAACAGCTCCTCCTTGGGCTGACACTCATTCTGCTCCTCCAGACATCATCCGTGTGACACTCAACACCAATTTTGGTTCGTTTAAGCGCCTTCATGCGTGTGATCAAGTTATTCGCTATGCGATCAGTTTTTGCAGCTTTGGATTGGTCTGTCGGTAGTTGAGGCTGGAATCAAGGTGCGCCATCGGGCACACAGGGAAGACGAGGCAGAAAGGTTGTTCGTTATAAACTTTCAACTCGCTATCTTACCCCCCCCCCGCAGACTTGAAACTTCCTCAGATCAATCTCAACACCAAGACGCCCATTCATTTGGACTTCAGTCGACTTCCGTGAAGATCTGTAACCATGCCCCCTGGTCAGCATGCTCACCACATTTTCTGGCAAAATCATGACAAAAGCTGATTTTCTGACAGGAAGCTCATCGCAGTCCGGGGTTATTAGCGGCCGGGTGACCAAGTCAGTGCCGCAAACTCCAGGAAAGCCAAAAGCGTCACAGAGTAGCAGTACCGGCAACAGTCTTACCGGGAGATCTGGAAAGACTCCTAAGTACAAATATGGCTTCTGTCCAGGATGCCGCTTCGGCCATCTCGTGAGGAATCAGATCAACCCGGAGCATCCCAACAAGGACATAGCCGGAAAGTATCGACTCAGCTGCAGCCACAGAGAGAGCAAAGGATGCACGTATTACAAGATCCTGAAGACAGACCCAAAGCTTACAGTTCCGCCAACGCACTCCAAGAAGCCCATCTGCCCTCAGTGTACCATGGGCCAACTCCTCAAGGTGATCCAGAATCCCTTCAACTTCAAGGAACAATGGATGGAATGCGACAGAAAAAACGCATTGGAACGGCCATGCGACTACCGACAAGGCTTGAATGGCAAACAGCTTGAGAATACGGGGGCGATGCCTGGAACACAGCCCAGGGGACTTTTCTCTGACCACCGTCCAGATGGGAATAAGCTGGACAAAGGGAAAGGGAAAGCGACTGAACAGCCAGGCCCTGCGAACACAGCAGATCCAGCAACGCGGGGTCCCGAACTTGACGCAGGACCATCTCGAGCTCCAGGAGGGGCTGCAGACCTGACCGAAGATGGGCAATTTACGCCAGAAACAACGCCCGAAAGATCACCATCACCTACACCTGCCGCTCACAACGTCGGCGCCGCTACCGCCCCAAATCTCAATGGTCCTGCCCCTGGCACATGGAAAGGAAAGTCCAAGCTCGTCGAAACGGCCGCAGACATTCTTTCTTCCCAAACCGTCATCGATCTGGTCTCGGATATCTCGTCGCAAGCGTCTGACACGGCGGGACCAGGAGAAGGGTCGTCCAAACAGGCGGAAACTCTCACAGAGCCTCGAAAGCAGCCGGCTTGCAGCAAAGAGGACGCATATCTGGACGAATTCGACTCCTCCGATGATGAAGAGCTTGCCCACATGACCGACTACATCTACCATTCTGCACGAAAACCAATGCCGCAACGGCGTGTCAAGAAAGAACCTCCCCTCAGCCCTATCTATATCCAAGATTGAGACGGGAGGGATGATCGGGGAAAGATGAACTGGGAGTACAGGTACGATACACGGAAACATCTCGATTTCACAGCTGTTCATCGTCTTTGCAGGGTTCTCGGGTGAAAGGGCGAGAGACGTTTAGCGGGCGGGAGCAGCCGACAGGACAGGCACCCGTGGCGCTGGAAGGGAGCCCGACACATCGGAGCACAAACCGAACACACGGTCGGGGTGACGGAAACAAATCATTCGTCACCACCCAGCCGTATCGAGGACTCGAAATCCGAAAAGCAGGACCCATTTCGGTATTTATCATTTTGTGACGCCATCAGTGGGGCTCCACTTACAAACTTTGTGGGGGTTTATGTGGGGCAGGACTTTAAGCTCCGCGTCAGATGTCTGCAAACGCGTCTTGATGTTTATCGTTCGAGGCGCGTGGAGGGTATCAAATGCAATTAAATGCGCAGCAGACGCGTCTTATTCTGCAAGAAAGCTGCCCAGGGTTCCCGGATCAGTCTTTCCTCGATCGGGGCTCACGCACCTCATGCACCTCACGCATGGACTTTTGGGTATTATTTACAGGTAATTACGTACAGCTCGGAGACCATGGAGCAATCACCCACCGTTTCTTTTCTTCCCTTTTTCTTTCTTCATTGACCTCTATCTGCAGCTGCTTTTTCTCCAAATCAGCGAAGCAACCCGGAATCTCGGAATCACAGTTGAGACAGTCTCTTACAATTTCCCGTCTTCCTTCTTTTTGGGTTGCAGAATCATTCTCAATTCCGTTTTCAATTGTCTGACACTTGTCAACCACATCTTGTCCAATCTCATTCCTCTTCCGTCCTCTCCCTTGTCTCACCATATACCGACTTGGGTAAGGTAACAGGCATTTGATTCGGGCTGCCCCCTCCCCCGCCTTGTGCTTACACCACCTACCGGTCTCTGTTGGACGATCCAATCCGCATTCTTCGGCCAATCCATTTTATTGATATTATCACCACCACACGATAATACCACCGGCAGGGATTCAGTCATGGAGGTGGACGAACCCGAACCCACCTTGCCGCCTTTGCCAGTCCCGGACGAACTGCCCGCCTTTACCACATATATCCCAGGGGAACGCAAACGGTCTCGTGGCTGCTATGCCCCTCCTCCTCCCTCGCCTGGTATGAGCAGTTCTAGTGACCCTGCATACTTCTCGAGCGACGATGATCCAGCTCTGGATAACTACCTGCAAGGACGGCGAAAGAGGCGATATGTGGGCTCGTGGTTCGACCAAGTACCGGCATCCTCCGACTCTGGCATGGGCGACGATGCAAACCCCGGCCCATCGTCAAATTCCCGACACAAGCGGCACTTGAAGCGACAACCAGATAGCGGCGTTTGGGTTGGCCAAGACGGTGCAACCGACACCGATGGCGATATCGACCTACCGCCACTGGCTGCGCGACTCGCTCTCTCATACCCAGCCATCAAGCGTATACCGACACTTAGTTCGGAAGAGCAACGCGCACAAAACGTTGTATTGGCATGTGTGGACGATGGCCGGGAAGACGTCGACTTGAGGTGAGCCAGCGGGTTGAACGCGCCACCCTTTCGAGGACAGCCATCATGGAGGAGGACATGCTAACTTCTGGTAGCCAAATGGGCTTGGCCTCGATCTCGGACTCCGTTCTCGAACCACTTGCGGGCCTGACTCCGATCCCAGTCGTGGAAAAGGATGTTCCGTTCGTACCCAGAGACCCGGTTCTTAAGCTTTTCTTGGGAAATAATCAGCTGGCGAGGTTTCCCAGCGCTCTCCTCGACTTTCAGCACTTGACCGTGCTCAGCCTTCGAAACAACAGGCTGACCGAACTGCCGCCCGCCATCTCAAAGTTGAAGAATCTCACAACCCTCAACATCGCCAACAATCGGTTGCGTCACTTACCAGGAGAGCTGATAAATCTAATGGGGTGTGCCAGTGGACTTCACACCTTGAACATTCACCCTAATCCCTTTTTCCAACCAAAGCATCGGCAACACTTCTTGGACGATGACTACCTACAACACAAGTACGAATGTCGCACAACGGGGAGGGATCCCGGTATTTACGGATTGTTACGAGAAGGCTGCGATCGGGGCGAATACTTCACACTCTTCACTACGGCACTACGCGCCCGCACACCGGTCCAGTTCTCCAACAGCGCCGGCCACGTTCTCAGCAAGTTCATTTTCCCCGATATGTCTCAGCGTCTCACGGAAAGCTCGAAGCAGCTTGAAACAGAGGACTTTGGATCGATGGCTATACCACCAATCGTTAAGCAACATCTTGAATTGCTGGGGGAGTCAAAGCGGACTTTCCGACCCAAAGGCCCGTCCTCGCTTCTCGCAACAGCAATGCGAGTTGCCGCACGCTCCAAGGACACAGAGTCACTGCCAGACATGATAAGGGCTGATGGGTGCCCCTCGCATCTTGCTGATCCGCTGGAGCGTGCCATCGTGGTCAGTAAGCTGGGTGGTCAGCATTGCACGGTTTGCAAGCGGGAGACCCTCTGTCCTGTAACCGAGTGGATCGAGTTTCGCGAGATTCAGAACACGAGCGTTGAACGGACAGTGACTGGGGAAGGTAATAAACGGGCGACCATAAGCTCCAGGAATATCAGCGGGCGCGAAGACGAGGCATGGGTGCCTTTTGTTCGAAGGGGATGTTCCTGGGCATGTACACCCCACGTTCTGGATCCTTTAGATAAAACCCCCGTCGTACACGGGAGTTTCTGATGTATTCATTTGGAGACCTGAAGGAGCGGTCGATGATTTACGGCGTTTTGTTTCCTGACCTATTGTACGGTGTTGGGCATATGGCGAACATCAACGGAGTAACTCATTCTAGCCAGTGGCTAATAACCAAGTTGTTTTTTGGTTTGCTGCCATAACTTGTGATGATCTCAGACTGTTCATATGATACTTTCAGGGCGGCATTTCCAGTGCAAAGCGTTAATAGGCAACTATAGATATATACTTCTACTAAATTCGAAGGTATCGTAGTGTCACCTTCAATTATCCGACACTTCCCCTTCTGGAAGTGAATGTTTGATATGGAGATGCTTGCTAAGAATCCGGACAACTCCACCGGTAGGTAAACAGCGGGGAGCTCTGGACAGCGGGCAGGGGGTTGATTCGGGGACCCCCGCTTGACGCTTCCAGGTGTAGTGTACAACTCCTACAGGGGAGAGCTAAAGTTGTTTCAACGTCACATCTTCCCAACGCAGTCGAAAAATTCATCATTCATTCATTCCCAACATTGAGAGGATCCAGCTCCATCCAACTGTTTCTCTCGCATCATCTCTTCTTACTGGGTGTTTTCTGCTGCCCAACCCGAGCTTCTAGTTCTACCAACCACTTTTTACCAACAATTGCTTTCGACACGACACTCCAAAGCTACTCGACTGCTAATGTCGATCGCATTCCAGTAACTGCATCTCTAAAGTTATCAATTCCCAACACTCTTGGCCGCGGGCCATAGCAGTGCCTACCCATCCCACACCGATATGCACCTCCCGACGCAGCTATCGGCGCTCCTCCTGGTCGCGCTGCCATCAGTGGTACGCGCTGTCTTCCAGGACGAGGTCGGCCACATCGACTACCACCACGAGCTTCTGGGCCTCCCCCAGCGCGAAACTACCTTCTTCCACAAGCCGAGGCGAGACGACAAGGCGAGCCTGCTCTACACCCTAAGCGACGTTGGCGTGCTCGGCGCCGTCAACCCCAGCAGCGGTGCCGTCCTTTGGCGACAGCTGCTCAATGGCACCGTCACGGATGGCGGCGGCTTCTTGCGCGCGGGCGAAGGCCAGAACTGGTTGGCTAGCGCCTACGGCCAGTCGGTACACGCTTGGGACGCCGTGAATGGGAGGAACAAGTTCTGGATGGACTTTGCGGGGGAGGTCAAGGACCTGGAGATCATGGAGATGGCGGAAAACAACAGGAAGGATATCTTGGCTTTGTTCGACGAGAGCGAGTCGACTGTGCTCAGGAGGCTGAGCGGCAACGACGGGAGGGTCGTGTGGGAGTTCAAGGAGAGCTCCGGTGACGTGCCCCTCCAGATCAGCACCAACGTGGAGAAGGTCTTCGTCATCAGCCTTCGGGGATCTGCCGGCGCCTATAACATCAAGGTCACTGTTCTCGATGCCCTCAGCGGGAAGCGCGAGGACGAGATGGTAATTGGAACCAAGGCCGATGTTCACGACAAGGACGATGTCATTCTCGTCGGTGCCAACTCGGCTGCCCCTATCATCGCGTGGACGGATGATGTCCGCGGAAAGCTACGTGTCAGTGTTCTTGGGCAGAAGACGCGCCAGGAATTCCCCCTGCCGGCCGACACTGTCTCCGTCGAGATTCATGCTCCCCATCTTGTCCAGTCTCTGCCGCATTTCTTGGTGCACAGCAAGACCCCGACCGGTCATACCGCCGAAGTGTACCACGTCGATCTTAGGACGAGTGTCATCACCAAGGCTTATCAGCTCCCTTTTACTCCTGGACCCGGCGCTTTCTCCACCAGCTCTAACGGTGCGAATGTCTACTTCACTCGTATAACTGACGAGGAGTTAATCATCTTCTCGTCTGCCTCGGACACCGTCCTTGGACGCTGGCCTCTGAAGACCCCCGAAACCAGGCTGGTTGCCCTTCACGGAGTCTCTGAGGTTGTTAAGAAGCTCGGCTCCGACAGCTATGCCGTTAGGTCGGCCGCTGTCACTGATACTGACGAGTGGATTCTTATCCGCAACGGAGACGTCGCCTGGTCCCGTCCTGAAGGCTTGACCGGAGCTGTTGCGGCCACTTTTGCTGAGATTCCCGAGAGCGAAAATCTCGCCAAGACTCTGGAACAGGAGGCTCACAGCAACCCTCTCGAGGCTTATATCCATCGCATCAAGCGTCATATTGAAGACCTCCAGTATCTGCCTGCTTACCTCAACAACATCCCTGCCCGCCTGATGAGTAGTGTACTCGGCACCGAGGTCTCTACCCACGATGGCAAGCTCGCCCGTGACAGCTTTGGCTTCCACAAGCTCGCTGTTTTGGCTACGAGGCGCGGTATGATCTACGTCCTTTACGCCGGAAACCATGGCAAGGTGCTGGCTACCAAGAGGGCCTTTGACCTGCCCAAGGGCCAGAAGTGGGATGTTGCTGGAATCAAGGCGGATGACTCGACTGGCATTGTCACTATTCTTGGAAATAACAATGATGAAACGGTCGTCAAGCTTCTCCCGAGTACTTCGGTGTTCACTATGGAGGTGTTTAGCAAGGGACCGGAGGGAACTCCTGCGACCCAGAGCGCTGCTCTTCTCAACACCGCTACTGGACCGCGTCTCTTTCCCGTTGGCTTGGACGGCGAGCTTCAGGGGTTGACCTCTGATATTCTTCCCAACCAGATCGCTGTTGTCCGCGGCTCCGATGGAGAGCTGAAGGGCGTCGCAATCGCCGACGGAAAGCAAACCGTCTCTTGGACTTTCTTGTTGCCCAAGTCGCAGAGAATTGTCGGCATTGCTACCAGACCTGCTCACGACGCCGTAGCCTCCATTGGTCGCGTCCTCGGCGATCGCACTGTCAAGTACAAGTACCTGAACCCTAACACTCTTGTCGTTGCCGCGGTCGATGAGAGCACCAAGGTTCCTTCTCTCGTTATCTATCTCCTCGATACTGTCTCCGGACAGATCCTGTCGTCATCCAAGTATGAGGGTGTTGACCCCAAGAAGCACATCGAGTGCGCCATGGCAGAGAACTGGTTCACTTGCACCTATTTTGGCCAGTACCGCGTCAGAGACGGCGCCCAATCTCTCAAGGGATACCAGATCGTCGTCTCCGACCTGTATGAGACCGATAAGCCCAATGATAGAGGTGTTCTCGGTGATGCCGAGAACTTCTCCTCTCTGGGGCCCATTGATGCCCCGGGTGACGTCCCTCTGCCCTCGGTCGTCTCGCAGACCTTCATTCTCAGTGCCCCCATCTCCGCGTTGGAGGTCACGCAAACCAGGCAGGGTATCACCTCTCGCCAGGTGCTGGCCTACCTTCCCGAGACCCACGGCATCGTCGGCATCCCACGCATGGTTCTCGAGCCCCGCCGCCCTGTCGGCCGTGACCCTACCCCCGCCGAGATGGAGGAGGGCTTGGTCAAGTATCACCCCGCTATCGAGATTGACCCCAAGAGCGTCCACACCCATCAGAGGGACGTGATTGGCGTGCAGAAGATCATTGCGGCGCCCGCGATCGTGGAGAGCACCAGCTTAGTGCTTGCTTATGGCATCGATGTGTTTGGGTCGAGAGTGGCGCCGAGCTTCTTGTTCGATATTCTCGGCAAGGGCTTCAATAAGGTCACCCTTATTGGAACTGTGTTGGCGATTACAGCTGGTGTGATGGTGTTGAGCCCGATGGTGAGTAACCAAAATGTGATGACTTGAAGTGAACATGGACTAACAGGTGTGTGTTTGCAGGTTCGGAGAAAGCAAATCAACTCTCTCTGGGGTGCTCCAATGTGAACTGTAAATTTATGAAGATGCGGGTTGGTGGATGGTTCCCATCAGAATGGGTGGTACATTGGACTGTATAGAAGAATTCCTTATGGTGATGGAACAGGGACGTATTAATGACCGTAAAATAAATCAACACATACTTCTTTTTGGATGCTATCACGTTCAAGACACTTGCTTGCATATTACTTCCTCTGCAAAGTGACTCCCAGGCCAAAGATACCCTCGGACTTGTCAGTCACTACGGTTGACCTCTGCGACGTGCTCCGACACAGTATGTTGATGACGATATCCTTTAGTAGAAACTGATCCCATCAGCCAGTCTGGACTTCTGAATGTTTGTATTGAGAATCGACCTGCAAATCCGGCTTGTGGCCTGTGGGCTGCGAGCTGCCCCTGCCATGGGACAGGCCTGGAAGGTTGAGGGTTGGGTGGTTGACGACAAACAGCGAGATCCTTCAGAAGAACGGACGGCCCGTCCCGTAGCCTACACACTTTACCCTCCCAACCGGCAAACAACCGGCAAACGCACCTTCCATCTCAACTCATTCCTCCCGCTGCCCACGCCCCAAACAGTGAGTGACTCCTGCTAGCGGGGTATATAAGGTCCCGTCCCATAGGTTCCTTTCAATAAACGGCCAACACGACCAGTTCGATCCTGGTCTGGTGGCGTAGTCAGTACTTGCACCGCTTGCCAGCTTCTGCATCTCCCGCTCGTTAGTTGGGCCCCGTGCCGGATGGGTGAAAGTTCGGTTCCCGGCCGGGGTTGTAGCCAAAAAACAGGTAGGGACAACAATACGGCGGGATCCAGGTGTGTGTATGACTGCCGAGCGGGTTATTGACCTGCACCCTGAAGTTGAACAAATAATTGGTTGTTCGGATATGTTGGCATCTTCTTTTTTTCTTTTCTTTTTTTTTCCTTTTTTTTTCTTTCCTTTTGGAGATGGTTATTTATTTTTTTGTGTAAACCTCTCCACTGACTGATGTGTCGATGGTTTTAGAGGACAAAAAGGGCGGTGCGGCAGGTAGCATGCTGATTGATATCATGATATGCCGCTCAGCGTTGACAGGATCTTTTAGAAAACCGACGGGAATCTTCGATATCTTCAATCTCTTCGATATATCTCTGAGGAATTGACTATGGTGCGTAACGAGGGTCTGGAGAAATTGGAAAGATCCTCAGGTCAGGCAGGCTGCTCCAGTGACTGAAATGTAATCATATTCTGTGCGCAAAAAGAGATCCATGGATTCCTTCAGTTGGATTAGATTGCGTTATGTCATGATTTGCTTGGGAAGGAACCATCCTGGATGTGCTTTTCCATAGTGTATATAAGGTACCCCTTCCCTTGGTAAGCTGTGGTACGGTTTCTTTGTTCTATCACATCGTACGCTTTCAAGTTCATCACCTTCTACGCTCAGCTCTTTCCTCGTTCATGAGCTTGTGCTTTTATCACCCCAGCCATCAAAACCTGCTCATGGCAGTCCGCTCGCTCCTATCTTGTCACCTCCATCAAGCTCGACCACTCTTTCCTACATGAAGTTTTCTCTGTTACCATATTCGAGGCGCTATCATTTTATCTCTTATCTCCTTCGCACTTGTCAGAATTTGTCACGTCAAATACAGAGAATGATAAGTGTATTCCTCAGGCAGGAACTTTGTCGAAGGCAGCCACTCTTTCAATCCAAATAACCTTGTCAACTTACTGGCCGCCTAGAGCGCGGAGCGCGGCATCAGCGCTTGTGATTAGACAGCACCCGGCTCTCTGTCACACGCATCGCACCATGATAACTTCTCCCCAATAACTCGACGCGGCTTAGCCGCCTGTAATTCAGGGCCTCATGAACGATTCTGTCCGTCTGCTCACCCGCCCGACCGCCTTGCTCACCTCTGTTGTCCCATTCAAGACGGACCAAGCCTGATAATCTTCTGCAACCTCTCTATCCAGATCTACCAAGCATATGAGGGTCGACACACGCGCCAGGCAGTCTCAAAGGGGCGGAGGCAGATGTGACTCCTTTTTCTTGGTGGCGCCTTTCCACATCTGCCCCTGTGTCACGAGATGACCTATGCCGAGTGATAGGAGTGTCTGGTGAGTATAGCACACCGCTCTCCCACCTCCTCCGGTCATCCACAGCAACCGAGCCCGATACCCACACAGCCTCTGATTTCCAGTCATTCTCTTGAGTAGCTGGCCTCTTCCTTGCTCATCCGAGTCGCCTTGCTCACCTCTACGGCCTCTATCAGTGGAAGACGAGCCTTGTCATCTCCGACAGCCTTCAACGCCCTCATCAACTGGCTAGGCATCAAGGTCTTCCTGCCCCATTAGGCTGCCTTCCTATTGTCCAATGCTGGAACGGACAGACTCTGTACAAGGAGCCAGGTGAAACCGAAAATCCTGGCAGAGCTGAATATGCCGTGATGGAGGCACCACCCGGTCCCTCCGTCCAGATTGGGCTTTCGAGGTTCCACAGCCACCAGTCGTTCATGTCAGTCCCTGCCCCTAATCATCATGGATATTGTCTTCCATCGTTACTACCGAGGCCCTCAGCCATTGCTCCAGGCTCTTGGGTAACCACCACATCCTTCTTCACCGAGCAACTGGTCGGTTGAATCTCCCTCTTCTAGACATACCGCCGGCAAGGCGGCCACACTTGTGGTGACGGAGATGAGGCGAGGGTATCGCAGTACGCGTTCATACGATCTTTTTTCGACGTTCACTCCATGGGGGAAAAGCTTTCGGCATCGTCGGGACCATCAAGTTCGTAGTGGCGATTGCGGCGTTGCCACAAGTACTCAACACCTAGGACTTTCCCATCTGGCCGAGCATCGGCGTGAACATTGCGTAACGCGTCATCCGCGTGTGCGGTAGGTGATCTTGGTTGTGAGCGGATAGAAGCCGACAGGTTGAAAGAGGATGACAAGAGCATGGCACTGCCACATTTCAGAAGCTGCTAAGATCATGGGCGGTTCGTATTGTCCATGTCAGATGCACTGCTCATCGGATTGTCAGTCATGATCGATGCTTCAAGAGGAAGTATGGTGGACAGTTATTTCTTCAAATCGTTCGTTGCAAAGGGAGCGGCGAAAATGCTCAGGAGGTTTGGTGTTGATTCGTTTAGGTACTAACTCTCCTGTATATGGTTACACAAAAAAGAACCCGGACCGAGTGCCGAGTACCAAGATTTAGCGACATTGGAGGCTGTGCAGAACCATCTTTTGTACGCGGTTATACCCGGAGACCTCTGGGAGGGACAACGCCACTATTCCCATTTCGCCTCCATAGCTGCGCCAGTGCAGTCTGAAGCTCTATTCACGAACTGTGATATTCCCCGGCTCCCGAAGCTTTGGTTCCTGCATTCATACATCAATAAAGAAAAATCTTTTCGGCAAGTCCGATTGGCTTACATACCTACTATCCGAATGTTATGCTTTTGGCCTGCTATCGAGGCATTCGCTACCTGGTTTATGCAACCTTAACACACGCGAGCTGAGGTCATCTATTAGGCTACCTGAAGCATCAAATCCTAGCTGATTGCGCTCATATCTCAGCTTGCGATGCTCAGATGCCCCGGATTCGAGGTGCTAGCTGCCAGGCGTAAGGCATTAACGTTGCCAGCTGAATCTTCTCAGTCCTCGAAGGCGGCCAAAACGAAGCACAGGACTTGGTCATCAAGTCCCTCCCCAGCTCGACAGGCACTTTGAGCCGAGACATGGACGCCTCAACTAGATTGCCTCCCCTATTGATATCACCGCCAGTGTTCCACTGACACCATGTTGCCTGCCCAAGCTGCTATCTACTGTGGAACACATATGTCTTGCCACGATTCGGTATTGGGAGTAGAGAAAAAGGAAACCAGGACGTCCGGATGTTCCGCTCCCATAGTGCGGGCTTGTGGCTGTCCTAATGAGACCTGCCGTCCAACGGTATTCGAAGATGTTGGAGAACAAAAGGCAACATGCATTTCGTGATGTTGGCTTCACTCAAAGAAAAGTCGAGAGGGCTTCGAGTAACAAATCGAGGGCACCACAAGCACTGCGTATTGGATGCCTACAGCGCCCTCTCATTGATGACTCGTCCTCAGGGAACCTCCTCGGACAACCAAGGCAGCTCTGGTAACCGGCTTCCTGTCTCCACAGCCAATGAAGCGCGCCTTGTTGGTGTCAGTCTTATCACTCATGAGGCAAAGACGCCTCGACGGAAGCCCGCCCGCGCCTATAGCTTGCCAAAGCTTCGATACACCACTTTGCCCCAGATCTGCCGGTGATTGAGGCAGTCCGATGATCGTCAGTTGTTGACAGCCGAGTGTCCTCACCGAGTGGTCACTGGGGTTCTCAGTTTATTGGGCTGATGGACATCTCCGGAACTTGGCCACGTTAAGGTCTCGTCGATCCTTGATGCCAAACTCTGTATCATCCCGACGGCCGAGTTGCTGACAGAGACCTAATCCTATAGGGACTGTTGTTGGGAGTATTATGGGCATCCTTAGCTCGCGATGCAATGCCAACAATTGTCGCCAACTCGGAAGTCAACGACCAGCCTTGTAGAATTGTGGAAGCACCGAACGAGCAAGTACAACATCCACCTTCTGTTTTGTCAACCTGATTCGAAAACATCCTGGTAAAGTAGACGTGGCGCAGAAGGTTGAGTGTACTTGACAACGTGATATCTGGTGATTGGTCAGGTGATGCATCTGCCTGTGCCTTGGGCTTTGAACAACGTGTTTGGTAAAGAGCCGCCTGTCGGATAAAGGACTTACATGGATGGTTATGGTTTCTGCAAGTTTGTTTTCCGGCTTCAGTTTTTCGTCGTGGTTTCAAGTTTGTGGGTTCCATTTAGTTCTTTTTCCGCCACCGTGGTTGTCACCATTGGGCAAACGGCGGTGAATAGAGGTAGGCAGGCGCCATCATGGGTACACCTCCCTTCCTGCTTGCTACCTGCCCGATCTAGCGCACGAGAATTGAGTCAGAGATTCCGCGGACGAATGGTAACATTTGAACAACGCGACGA